CTTAGATGCTGATGTCCCAGAAAAGTCAGCTTTCATAGTGGAATCTGGCCTGTATGCGTTTAAAGTTATGGCTTTTTTATATTTGGACTGTTAAGGAGAGGGCTGAGCAGTACAAAACATACATTTCTGGGGGAAAGCCCAGGACTTGAAGTGTGTTGGGATAACCCTGCTGTATAACCAAGACTAATGAGAGCCAGGGTGTGACTGGCAGGCTGCAGTTACAGAAACACATCTGGGAGTGATCTGGTGGCTGGTTGTGAGTTGTCCATGTTGGAGGCTACAATAGCAAGACATCGCAAAGCACCCCAGATTACAGGACAGGGGTGACACAGCCCTGTAACTGGTCTGGATTGTACTGTGATATGACACACTTACTATTTCATTGTTAAACTCTGATTTAAGATTCTTTTTTAAAGAAAAATGCTGTATTTATGACATGCTGTCTTCTTGGGTTCCTGGACACTTTACCTCTAGTTGTGACAATTATGTGGGGAAATATGTGGCATCTTCTTGTGTTTAAAAGGAACGAAATATTATCACTGCAAAGTTCCCACAGCAATTCAGGTCAGTAGAGAGCAAATCCATGCTATGCACCGTGTAAGCATTTAATCAGTGATAGTCCCTGTCCCAAAGAGCATACAATCTGCAATACTGCATAGAGCCGAAAAGGCTTAAAGCCTCTAAAATCTCAGAATCTGAAAGCTCCTTCTATTCATATTTTTGAAACAGAAATACATAACATTCTTTTACATAGGGTTTCTGCACGGACATGCGAAATACCTGAGTTTACTTACAGTGTGTGATAGACAACATTCCTTTCTTCAGATGAAGAATCTTTTCCCAATCCTGGAATTTTAAACATTTCATGATCACTGTGTTAAGCCCTTTTCCAGGAGTAATTTTAATCTCCTGGCCTTTGGAGGGCCTTTCAGATCAATAACAGGTGGGAAGCCCTTAACAGAAAATAAATCATTAACAGGGGAGCCCATAAACTGCAGAGCATGTTACTGCTTCCGTTTCCTTCTGGTAAACCTGTTAAATGAAGATTTGAAGTCCAGACTCTGTCTTCCACTCCACATCATCCACTTTGGTAAATACTTTTAATTAGTCATTCTGAATCTTGCCGATCCTTATGCCTCCTGCCAGGTTTCTATCCTCAAGTTCCTCTCCCCTTTAATTGAGCTTCAGCTTCCACCAGCCTTTCCTGTAAGACCTTGATACCATTTAATGTCTTTAAGGGAAGCTGAAACAGCACCAACCTATTTTGAATGTTTCACATGTTCCATTTGATTTACATTTTGGGTATTCTTTCATTCAGTTAATACACCACTCTGGTTATCTCCCACTGCACTCTGTGAGTGTGGCTATGGGAAGCCCACTGTGAAGTAGATTCTGATTAGGAGCAAATAGCGATTGGAATCGATTCCATGGTTTCGTCACCTGTATTGAAGAGACAGTGCTCTGGAGGGATGTGAGGCATTTAGGTTTCTTTCTGGGGGCGACGATGAGTGCTCAGGAGCAGAATTGTGGCTGTATAGAGCTGTCAGAACCTGGGGTCACGTGACTGCCACCCGACATTTGTATAGAAAAATAGAGCATTTATAAAATGTCATATTGTATTAATAAGCCTGTAAAAGGAACACAGTGAATGAACTGACGCCAAGGGGAAATTTTATTCTGAAATATATCATCTTACAAAATAAAATGAGCCCCAGAGATGCAAAGGGGAACTATTTCAATGTGTTTTCACATTCACTTCACTCACAATTACTGTCACAACTAACTTATATGTATTGAAATATAATGAGACAAGACTGGAATTAGCTCGTCTATTGTCAATGTAAAAGAAGCAGTGAGAGATAAAAGGCATCTTTTAAAAAGTGGAAGTCAAATCCTAGTGAGGTAAATAGAAAGGAGCATAAACACTGCCAAATTAAGTGTAAAAATGTAATAAGAAATGTCAAAAAGGAGTTTGAAGAACAGCTAGCCAAAAACTCAAAAGGTAATAACAAAATGTTTTTTAAGTACACCAGAAGCAGGAAGCCTGCTAAACAACCAGTGGGGCCCTTGGATGACCCAGATACAAAAGGAGCACTTAAAGATGATAAAGTGATTGTGGAGAAACTAAATGAATTCTTTGCCTTAGTCTTCATGGCTGAGGATATTAGGGAGATTCCCAAACCTGAGCCATCCTTTGTAGGTGACAAATCTGAGGAATTGTCACAGATTGAAGTATCATTAGAGGAGGTTTTGGAATTAATTGATAAACTTAACAGTAACAAGTCACTGGGACCAGATGGCATTCACCCAAGAGTTCTGAGAGAACTCAAATGTGAAATTGCGGAACTATTGACTAGGGTTTGTAACCTGTCCTTTAAATCAGCTTCTGTACCCAATAACTGGAAGATTGCTAATGTAACGCCAATATTTAAAAAGGGCTGTAGAGGTGATCCCAAGAATTACAGACCGGTAAGTCTAACGTAAGTACTGGGCAAATTAGTTGAAACAATAGTAAACAATAAAATTGTCAGACACATAGAAGAACATAACTTGTTGGGCAGAAGTCAACATGATTTATGTAAAGGAAAATCATGTCTTACTAATCTATTAGAGTTCTTTGAAGGGGTCAACAAACATGTGGATGAGGGGGATCCAGTGGACGAGGGGGATCCCTAACCCTAACCCTAACCTCTAGATTTCCAGAAATCCTTTGACAATGTCCCTCACCAAAGGCTCTTACGTAAATTAAGTAGTCATGAGATAAGAGGGAAGATCCTTTCAAGGATTGAGAACTGGTTAAAATACAGGGAACAAAGGGTAGGAATAAATGGTAAATTTTCAAAATGGAGTGGGGTAACTAGTGGTGTTCCCCAAGGGTCAGTCTTAGGACCAATCCTATTCAACTTATTCATAAATGTTCTGGAGAAAGTGGTAAACAGTGAGCGGCAAAGTTTGCAGATGATACTAAACTGCTCAAGATAGTTAAGACCAAAGCCGACTGTGAAGAACTTCAAAAAATCTCACAAAACTAAGTGAGTGGGCAACAAAATGGCAAATGAAATCTAATGTGGATAAATGTAAAATAATGCACATTGGAAAAAATAACCCCAACTATACATACAATACTATGGGGGATAATTTAGCTACAACAAGTCAGGAAAAAGATCTTGGAGTCATTGTGGATAGTTCTCTGAAGACATCCACGCAGTTTGCAGTGGCAGTCAAAAAAGCAAACAGGATGTTAGGAATCATTAAAAAAGGGATAGAGAATAAGATGGAGAATATCTTATTGCCCTTATATAAATCCATGGTATCCCCACATCTTGAAAACTGCATACAGATGTGGTCTCCTCATCTCAAAAAAGCTATACTGGCATTAGAAAAAGTTCAGAAAAGGGCAACTAAACTTATTAGGGGTTTGGAACGGCTCCCATATGAGGAGAGATTAAAGAGGCTCGGACTTTTCAACTCGGAAAAGAGGAGACTAAGGGGGGATATGATAGAGGTATATAAAATAATGAGTGGTGTGGAGAAAGTGAATAAGGAAAAGTTATTTACTTGTTCCCATAATATAAGAACTAGAGGCCACCAAATTAACTTAATGAACAGCAGCATATATATTCATAATTGTTTGCATTGTTGCTGGAGCCGAGTTTGTCCTAGGATATGAGAGAGAAAAGGTAGATGAGGTAGATAATGTATTTTATTGGACCAACTTATGTTGTTGGAAAGGACACACTTTTGAGCTCTTCTTTCTCCTGAAACCTGTTTGAACCCCTTATGCTTAAGGATCAGTTCCACCCGGTATTTAGCTTGGACAATCTGCTTATCTTCACCAGATCTGAGGAAAAGCTCTGTGAATCTCGAAAGGTTGTCCTTCCCACCAACATAAGTTGATCCAATAAAAGATACTACCTCACCTGCCTTGTCGCTGTTATATATTCATCACTACTTTATTCCAGTCTGCATTCAGATATATGTAAGATACATTTGCACCTGTTATAGAGACTTTCTGTTTGCTAAAGTGAAAACAAGTATGATATACACTTAATTTAGACATTAAACTAAATATCACTAATATAATGTTGTTTGCAGCTATCTTGACTACAGCAGTCTCAACAGCCACACCTCAACAAAACAGAGTTTATGAAAGAAACCTCCCAGTATTAGACTTGTTCCAGATCTTTGACGATTGTCTGCTCTGAAGTTAAGGTCTGATGTCAAGAAAATCTTCAAAAACTTGTTCAAAATAGTTGATATTTACCAATAAAATTAAAGATGATTTTTTAAAAAATCATAAACATAATTTAAGCGATTTCTTTCCTTCAAAAAAAAGAAAAAGGGGAACTATTTGGAAGATCAGTATATTAGGCCACGGACTAATGATTAAACAGTGTCCATGACAAGTGGAAAGTTAAGTTAAGTTAAGAATGATTAAATATAAGGAAAAAGAATAGCTAGTAGCTGACTTTATATATTTATGTCACAAGGTGCCGCTGTTGACTAAAAATACGTTTTCATAGAAAGGGAAAAATACAGCTCCTCCTCCCCGTCCCCATACTACAATCTGCAGCAAATCAGATATTCACCAGCATTGCTTGACATTGGACTTGCATTAAACCTCTACATAGACGTGGCCCGATATATTAAAGCATACTTATTATCTGGCAAAACCTGGGACTTTATTGGATAAGCGGCACCGCCCCGTGTCCGCGATGGCTCTTCTCCGGCGAGACTCCCTGGTAACCGGG